TGGAGAACCATCTGAAGTCTAGATGAACAGAAGTTTTATAACTAAGTATATAAAGAAGCCATGTCAAGACTGGTAGGAGGGGTGGAGACGCGAAATGGGCCCCACACCTGCATGTAGTGATTGAGACTCAGTAGAGATATTTTGGCCATGGAGGTTCCCCACAGAGGAGCAAGAGACACCAGCCCCACACTTAGCTTCCCAGCCTGGAATAGGGGTACTGGGAAGAGGAGCCCCCACAACATATGGCTATGAACAGTGGGGATTCTGACCATGTGGGTGGGATGGAAGGCTGCAGGAAACCCAGGTGTCCTCTTAAAGGGATGTGCACAGACTCACTTGCTCACAGGCACTCACCTGCGGCTCTGGCAGACGGACAGTGACTTGGGGGCGGGGTGGGAGGAGGAGGCATACAGGGGTCAGACGGAAGTGTGTGGCTTTGAGGTGGAAGCTAAAGGACAGTCGCCATTTTCTCTGCATGTGGTCCTCCTCTCACACAGCCAAAAGATGGGCACCATCTTTCCTGTGTTGAGCCCGCCCCTACATAGCCAAATCTAAATATGACGGGTCTGGTAAGCTCTGCTGCTCCACCCTGCTGACTTCCTGGGACCCCACACCATCCAACTCCCCCAAAGCCAGAAGCACTTTCTCCACCAGCAACTAGCCCTGTCTGCATTTCACACTTTCTTGAAAAACTATGAGAGTCTGCGGGCCTCAGGTGGGCAGCAGCTGGCCTCAGTGTGCTTGGAGACTTTTGCTGAGTACCTCCAGGCTCAGCACTGGCACCAAAACAGCATTTACATTAAGCTGGTGACCACTGTTCTTCCCACTCTGGTGACTCCCTGAAACCCTGCCTCACCCAACTTGTGTACCACATGAGGCTTTATCAGTGACTGAACCTTAAGGGAGCTGGCAAGTAGCAGCAGGCTTTGGGGTGTCCTGGCTTTTTGCAGAGCTACCCCAGGCTCAGTACTGGTTGTAGCCATTCTCAATTCACAGCATGGCTTCTCCCATGCACCTCCAGTTTTAGCACAGGCAGCAAACAACTGTGGATCGCTTTGTAACTCCTACAAGGTAATCCCCAGCCAGTCAAGGGCAGTGGCTGACCTGGACCTGTACTGGAGCCCCTCACAAGAGGCCCAGAACCAACATACTCGGACATTGGCTTCAGACCACAGCAGAGTCCAACTAGCCCTACAAGCTGCATACCCAAAGGGCAGTATCAACAGGCACCACAGCCCATTGGGGTGAATCACACTCAGTAGGGTAAGCTTCCCACAGAGCAGCCCAGAAGCTGTGGATGTGGCCAAACCCCACAACCCCACAGGGTCAATCCCACCCACTGATGTGCCAATAGCAACCAAGGTTCAACTATAACAGGAGGGCACACACAACCCACACAAGGAACACTCCTACAGCACCTGGAGCAGGTGACCAGGGAGACTGTGCCAGGGCCCTACAGGTCACCTATTATATAAAACCAGCCAGCCAAGACTGGAAGACATAGTAAATCTACCTAATACATAAACATAAACACAGAGAGGCAGCCAAAATGAGGACACATAAAAATGTGTCCCTAATGAAAGAGTAGGAGAAAGATTCGAAAAAGAACTAAAAGAAATGGAGGCTAGCAACCTATCAGAAAGAGAGTTCAAAATAATGGTTATGAGGATGTTGAAGGACCTTGGTGAGAACTTCAACAAAGAGATAGCAAGCACAAAAAAAGGACATAGAAACCATAAAAAAGAACCAGTCAGAAGTGAAGACTACAATAACTGAAGTGAAGAACGCATTAGAAGAAATCACCAGCAGACTAAATGAAGCAGAAGATTGAATCAGAGGTTTGGAAGACAAGGTAGCAGAAAACACCCAATCAGAAGAGCAAAAAGAAAAAAGGAATCCAAAAAAAAAATGAGGACAGTTTAAGAGACCTCTGGGACATCAAGCATAAAAACATTCACATCATAGTGGTACCAGAAGAAGAGGAGAAGCAAGGGATTGAGAACCTATTTGAAGAAATTATGAAACTTTTTTAACCTGGCAAAGGAAATAGACATACAAGTCCAGGAAGTGCAGAGTCCCAAACAAAATGAACCCAAACAGGCCCACACCAAGACACATTTTAATTAAATTAGCAAAGTTCAAAGACAAAGAGAGAATCCTAAAAGCAGCAAGATGCAAGCAGTTAGTTACCTACAAGGGAGCACCCATAAGATTGTCAGCTCATTTCTCAACAGAAACTTTGCAGGCCAGAACGGACTGGAACAAAATATTCAGTGATGAAAAGCAAGGACCTAAAATTCTACCCAGCAATGTTATCATTTAAATTGAAGGACAGATAAAGAGCTTCCAAGACAAGAAAAAGCTAAAGGAGTTCATCAGTACCAAACCAGTATTACAAGGAATGTTAGAGGGACTTCTTCAAGATAGAAAAAAAAAAGATCAAAATTATGAATAATAAAATGGCAATAGCTACATATCTATCAATAATTACTTTCAATGTAAGTGGATTAAATTATTTAATCAAAAGACATAGGAGGACTGAATGGCTAAGAAAACAAAACTCTTACATATGCTGTCTACAAGAGAATCACTTCAGATTAAAAGACACACACAGACTGAAAGTAAAGAGATGGAAAAACATATTTCATGAAAACGGAAACAAACAAAGAGCTTACATCCCACACAATAGACTTTAAAACAAAGGTTATATAACAGACAAAGAAAGACCCAGTAATCCTACTTCTGGGTATTTATCCGAAGAAACCCAAAACGCTACTTTGAGGGGACGTGTGAATCCATATGTTCATTGCAGCATTATTTACAATAGCCAAGATATGTAGGCAACCTGGGTGTCCATCAATGGATGAATGAATAAAGAGTAGGTGTTGCATGTATACAATGGAATGTCGCTTGGCCATGGATGGAAAGGGGTTTTTGCCATCTGTGGCAGCATGAATGGACCTGGAGGGTATTGTGCTGAGTGGAGTGCCAGACAGAGAAATACAGGTGCAATATGATTTTGCTTATATGTGGAATCTAAAGAACAAAATAAAGAAACTCATAGATAGAGTACATTTTGATGGTTGCCAAATGGGAGGGGAGTAGGGGTGGGTGAAAAAGGGGAAGGGATTAAGAAGTACAATTTGGTTGTTACAACGTACTCATAGGGATATAAAATAAAGCATGGGAAATATAGTCAATGATATGGTAATAACTATGTATGGGTACTAGAGTGGTCACAGAAATCGCTTCTTAAATTATATAAATATCTAACCATTATGCTGTACACTTGAAATTAATATAAAATAATATTAAATGTCAACTGTAATTGAAAAATTAAAAAGGAGGGGGTGGTGAAGGGGAATAAGAGGTCCAAATTTCCAGGTATGAAACAAATAAGTCATGGGGATGTAATGTACAGCATAGGGAATATAGTCAATAATATTGTGATAGCATGATATGGTGTCAGATAGTTGCTGGACTGATCATGGTGACCACTTCTTTAGGTATATAAATGTTGAATAACTATGGCATACATGTGAAACTAATATAATATTGTATGTTAGCTATATTTTTAATAAAAATCTTAAAATAAAAATAACAATTCAGGCTACTTTTCAATAAACTCTTCCCACATACATGGAGCTTACAATTCAGCTTTTTTTTTTTTTAACATTCAGTGTCATACACTTCAATATGAGCCAATAGCTATAGATATCATACATTTGAGGAAATGTACTAACATGAAGAATTAGATCAAAACAAATAAAAAGAAATTAGGACTTTAAGACCACATACGCAACCCTTGGAGACAAAACAAACTTTGTATTCATCCAAGGAAGAAAAGATGTTGGGGTTTTTTTGGGGGTTTTTTTGGTTGTTTTTTTAAAGATTTTATTGGGGAATTGGGGGGATGGGAACAGTGCTGGGGAATCGGGGGAAGGGGAACAGACAAGTTGCTGTCAGTTTTTATTCTTCAGTCTAGTTGTGGAGGATGTTGCTTCACTAGCCCATGTTGGTGTTATTATTGTGCTCTTCCCAGGTGAGGCTGATCAGTTGCTGGCCTCTAGACTGCTCTCACTGCGGCTCTTGGCAGCTCACACTGGCTGCCGGCCACACACGGTAGCTTATGGCAGCCCACTGCAGCAGGGACTGCAGCCTACACTGTCGCCGGCGACTTACGGCAGCCCAGCTCCAGGTCAAGCTGTTGTTCACCATCTTAGCTGTAGAGGACAGTGTCACTGGTCCCCATGTGGGATCCAAACCGGAGCCCTGCTGCTCAGAGCTGGTGTCCCAAGCCAGCTCTTAACCAACATGCCACTCGGCTGGCCCAAGATATTGTTTTTTAAGAAATCAATTCTCCTCAAAGTTACATAGTTTAAGGTTAAAAACTAAAATAATTCTATAAGACACATAAAAATAACTCTTTAGAAGCAAACTCTTTTAGCTATTTTTATGATAGTTACCTCCATATTGCTAACTAATATGATAATACTAATATTTCTTGATAGTTCAATTTTAGATCTCATTTACTGATCTCCTTATATTAAAAAAAATAAGATTTAGCTCTTTTATGTGAGACCAGGCATGTGTGTTTTGGAAATTATGTCATTAAATGTCTATAGTAAAGATCGGTTTGTTCACCTAATCCTGTAAGGTGTTGGTATAACAGGAGTTTTTGATCCAATTTAGAGCATCAGGTGTAAGTTTAATAGAGCTGCGCCACCTAGGTTTCAGTTTGCATCCAAGAATTTATATAGAAATAGGGGGACCTTTTCAAAGAGAAAGAAAAGAGACTCCAATCCCTTCACTCTGAGGTTTAAAGTGGTTAAACTCTTTCTCTGGGGGACCACGGTGGCCCCTTACTGAAGCTAGGTGGCAGTAAAGGACACTAAGCTTCCTGAAAGAAAAAAAAAAACATCCTCTATGAGAGGAGGAGGTTAGAATAGATTGAACAAAGACATCAGAGTAATGCTGTGCATAAGAAGGCTACACAGGCTCTCCGAGCTCATCCCTGCTCGCCAGCTATGAGCCTGGTGGAAGCACACTTTCATCCTGAATCCTTACCCTCCTCCCGTGGGGCAGCTGATGCTCTTGCGACACATCCTAAACTCAAGAACTGAGCATCAGTGGATCACGTTACAGGCATCTGAGAAACACTAGGGTAAGTTTAACATCCATCCTAAATTTGAGGAAAGAGCAAAATATGAAAAAAAGGTGGGGGAGAGAAGTAAGGGGGGAACGTCTCAGAGAAAGAATCCTGCCGTTTTCCAAGGACTCACACATAGACAAGCTTTGCCCAGAAATGGCTCTTTTGGTCCCAAACTCCAGGGGCAGAATTAATGATCCCTTCAAGCATTCTGAGAGCAGAAAGCAGAGGAATCATTGATAGCTTTACCATGAAACTCAAGGAGAGAGCAATGTGAAGAAAAGCCCAAGATCCGGATGAAGGTTAGAGTTCTTTGCCTTTAACCAGCAGTAAGGCGATTTTACCAGTCCTTAATTGAGTGGGACTGGGGACAGGTAATTAAATAAGAATACCTCTAATACTATAATTAGTTACAGCACATCTATGTTAATTAAGTATAAAACATATAATTTACTCATTGTAATTTGGTATTTTTTCAATAAATTGGAACTTTTCACAATTCCTCTTCAAAAAATCCTTTTGAATGTTGCTAAAATGGAAACTCCTGATAGGCAGGCTGAATTAACCATCTGGGACCTTCTCCTCATTGGTGGGTGCACAGAGGTAACTACATGCCCCTTTAGTTCACCCATTATCCAAATACCAAATGTATAGGAAGCCTTGGGAGTGGAGCCTTGAGTGTTGCCATAAGTATAACTTAGGATGTATTGTTACAAGCAATAGGAACCAAGTCTGGCTAACTTAAGGCCAAAAGAGATTTGTGAAGATGTGGCAGGAGCTCACAGAATTGTAAGAAGAGATGAACAACCAGGCCTTAGGAGGCACCTGGGAGCCCCTGCAGGAGCTTATGGGTGTCCTTTCTGAGGTACCTCCCCAGGTGACTGCTCCACCCACTCTCTGCCTGCAGGGAGACTCAAAATTACAGAGGGTGTTGAGGGCAGGAATCTGACCAGGCAGCTGAGCCAAATGGCCAAGGGTAGGTGGTACGGGAGAGGGGAAAGGTTGTGAGCAGAAAGGGGGGGACGAATGGGTGTTGGGCAGGCAGAAAGATAGGCCCTATACCATGCAGCCCAAGTCTCATTCTTTCCCAAATACTGCCTGACTTCACTTTTAAGATTCTAGATTTAGTCCCCAGGTAGAGAGAAAACCAATGTTAAATGGCTGCTGACTGAATTATGCAATGGTTTTCTTGAAGTGGAAATATAACGTAGCAGTTCAGTGCATGGGCTTTGAATCAGACAGCCTGGGTGCCAATCCGTTTCACCCTCACTAGCTGTGTGACCATTGATCTTTTCTTTTTTAAAGAGTTTTATTAAAATATACCTAACATACAATATTATATTAGTTTCAGGTGTACACCATAGTTATTCGACATTTATATACTTAAAGAAGTGATCACCATGATAAGCCCAGCAACCATCTGACACTGTACTACTATGCTATCACAGTATTATTGACTATATTCCCTATGCTGTACATTACATCCGCATGACTTACTTGTTTTATACCTGGAAATTTGAACCTCTCGTTCTTCTTCACCTATTTTCCTCCATTTAAAAATTTTTTCAATTATAGTTAACATTCAATATATTGTATTAGTTTCAGGTGTACAGCATAGTGGTTAGATATTTATATAATTTACAAAGTAATACACCTGGTTAGTCTAGTACCCACCTGGCACTATACATAGTTATTACCATATTACTGACTATATTCCCTATACTTTACTTCACATCCACATGACTGTTTTCTAACTACCAACTTGTGCTTCTTAATCCCTTTACTTTTTTCACCCAACCCTCCTCCCATCTGGCAACCATCAGCTTGTTCCCTGCATATGAGTCTGTTTCTGTTTTGTTCATTTATTTTGTTCTTTCAATTCCACATGTAAGTGAGATCATATGGTATTTGTCTTTCTCAGTCCGACTTATTTCACTTAACATAATACCCTCTAGGCCAGTCATGTTGTCGCAAATGGTAAGATTTCATTCTTTTTTATGGCTGAGTAGTATTCCATTGTATATGAGTACCACATCTTCTTTATCCAAATGTCTAATGATGGACACTTAGGTTGTTTCCATATCTTGCCTATTGTAAATAATGCTGCAACGAACATAGGGGTGCATGTATCTTTTTGAATTAATGTTTTGGATTTCTTCAGATAAATACCCAGAAGTGGAATTGCTGGGTCATAAAGTAGTTTTATTTTTAAATTTTTGAGGAACTTTCATACTGTTTTTTCATAGTGGCTGCACCAATTTGAAATTCCATCAGCAGTGCACAAGGGTTCCCTTTCTCTACATCCTCATCAACACTTGTTTGTTGATTTATTGATGATGGCCATTCTGACAGGTGTGATGTGATATCTCATTGTGATTTTTATTTGCATTTCTCTGTTGATTAGTGACATTGAGCATCTTTTCATATGTCTATCGGCCATCTGTATATCCTCTTTGGATATATGTCTACTCAGGTCCTCTCCCCATTTTTAATTGAATTGTTAAGAAGTTTCTTTGTTTTGTTTTGTTTTTGGTGCTAAGTTGTGTGAGTTTTTTATAAATTTTGGATATTAACCCCTTATCAAATGTATCATTGGTGAATATCTTCTCCAATTCAGTAGGTTGCTTTTTTGTTTTGTTGGCTGTTTTCTTTGCTGTGCAAAAAAGTTTTAGTTTGATGTAGTCCCATTTCTTTACTTTTTCTTTTGTTTCCCTTGCCCAAGGTGACATATCAGAAAAAATATCACTGAGAGCAATGTCAGAGAGTTTATTGCCTATGTTTTCTTCCAAGAGTTTTAACCAGGTCTTACAGCTAAGTCTTTAATCCATTTTGAGTTTATTCTTATATATGAGTATAGTGTAAAAAAGTGGTCTAATTTTATTTTTTTGCATGTATCCATCCAGTTCTCTCAACATCATTTATTGAATAGAATGCCTTTATCCCCATTGTATATTCTTAACTTCTTTGTCACAGATTAATTTATCATATAGGTGTGGGTTTATTTCTGGACTTTCTATTCTGTTAAATTGATCTATGTGACTGTTTTTATGCCAGTACCATGGTTTTGATTACTATAGCCTTGTAGTATAGTTTGATATCAGGTTTTGTGATACCTCCAACTTTCTTCTTCATCCTCAAGATTGCTGTGGTTATTTTGGGTCTTTTATGGTTCCATATAAATTTTTAAATTATTTGCTCCAGATCTATGAAAAATTCCATTGGTATTTTGATAGAGATTGCATTGAATCTATGGATTGCTTCGGGTAGTATGGACATTTGAATGATGTTAATTCTTCCCATCTATGAACATGGTATATGCTTCCATTTATTTGTATCTTCAATTTCTTTCTTCAATGTCTTATAATTTTCCAAGTACAAGTCTTTTACTTCTTTGGTTAAATTTATTCCTAAGTATTTTTTTGGTGCAATCATAAATGAGATTTTCTTAATTTCTTTTTCTGATAATTCATTATTGGTGTGTAGAAATGCAACTCATTTCTGAATATTAACTTTGTATCCTGCTGCTTTGCTGAATTCATTTATCAGTTTGAATAGCTTTTTGGTGGACTCTTCAAGATTCTCTATATAGAGTATCATGTCATCTACAAATAATGACAGTTTTATGTCTTCCTTTCCAATTTGGAGGCCTTTTATTGCTTTCTCTTGTCTGGTTGTTGTGGTTAGGACTTCCAATGCTATGTTGAATAAAAGTGGTGAAAGTGGACATCCTTATCATGTTCCTGATATTAAGGACAACACTTTACGCTTTTCATCGTTGAGTATGATGTTAGTTGACTATGGTCTTTATTATGTTGAGGCATGTTCCCTCTATTCTCACTTTGCTGAGAGTTTTTATCATAAATGGATGCTGAATTTTGTCAAATGCTTTTTCTGCATCTATTGATATGAGTATATGATTTTTATCTTACATTTTGTTTATGTGGTGTATCATGTTAATTGATGTGTGAATATTGAACCAACCTTGCACTCCAGGAATAAGTCACATTTGATCATGGTGTATGATCTTTTTAATGTATTGCTAATTCAGTTTGTTAATAGTTTGTTGATTTTTGCATCAGTGTTCATCAGGGATATTGGCCTATAATTTTCTTTTTTGTGTGTTGTCTTTGTCTGGCTTTGTATTCAGGGTAATGGTGGCCTTGTAAAATGAGATTTGGAGTTTTCCATCCTCTTGAATTTTTTGGAACAGTTTTAGAAGAATAGGTGTTAATTCTTCTTTGAATGTTTGGTAAAATTCACCTGTGAAGCCATCTGGTCCAGGACTTTTGTTTCTTGGGAGTTTTTGATTACTGATTCGATTTCGTTAGTAGTAATCGATCTGTTCAGATTTTCTGTTTCTTCTTGATTCCGACTTGGAAGATTGCATAGGAATTCACCTATTTCTTCTAGTTTGTCAAATTTGTTGACATATAATTGTTTGTAATACTTTCTTATAATTCTTTTTATTTCTATGGTATCAGTTGCCACTTCTCTTTCACTTCTGATTTTATTTATTTGGATCCTATCCCTTTTTTTCTTGATGAATCTGGTTAAAGTTTTATCAGTTTTGTTTATCTTTTCAAAGAGGTGGCTCTTAGTTTCATTGGCATTTTGTATTGTTGCTTTACATTCTATTTTGTTTATTTCCACTCTGATCTTTATTATTTCCTTCCTTCTATTCACTTCAGGCCTTGTTTGCTGTTCTTTTTCTAGTTCCTTTAGGTATAGGGTTAGATTGCTTATATGATCTTTTTCTTGTTTCTTGAGGTAGGCCTTGTTGCCATGAATTTCCCTCTTAGGACTGCTTTCTGTGTGTCCCATACATTTTGGGTTGTGTTTTCATTTTTGTTTGTCTCAAGATATCTTTTGATTTCTTCCTTGATCTCATTGTTAACCTAGTCATTGTTTAGTAGCATGTTATTTAGCCTCTATGTGTTTCTGTGTTTTTTGTTTTTTTGTAATTAATTTCTAGTTTCATACCACTGTGGTTGGAGAAAATGCTTGGTATGATTTCAATCTTCTTAAATTTATTTAGACTTGTTTTGTGGCCTAACATGTGGTCTATCTTGGAAAATGTTCCATGTGCACTTGAAAAGAATGTATATTCTGCTGCTTTGGGGTAAAATGCTCTAAAAATATCAATTAAATCCATCTGATCTAAAGTGTCATTTAAGGCCACATTTCCTTGTTGATTTTCTGTCTGAAAGATCTATCCCTTGATATTAATGGGGTGTTAAAGTCCCGTACTATGACTGTATTGGTGTCAATCTCTCCCTTTATGTCAATTAATGTTTGCTTTATGTATTTAGGAGCTCCTGTGTTGGGTGCATAAATGTTTACAAGAGTTGTATCCGCTTGTTGGATTGATCCCTTTATCATTAGGAAATGTTGTTCTTTGTCCCTTATTATAGCCTTCACTTTAAAGTATTTTGTCTGATATAAGTATTGCTGCCTCAGCTCTTTTTGTTTCCATTTGCTTGAAATGTTTTTCTCCGTCCTTTTACTTTCAGTCCACATATGTCTTTCAATCTGAAGTGGGTCTCTTGTAGACAGCGCATGTATGGGTCTTGTTTTCTTATTCATTCAGCTATGCTATGTCCTTTGATTGGAGCATTTAATGACCATGAATGTTTTCTAAAGGATCGGTGTATCTAGCTACTCTCAACCTTTCTGAGCTTCAGTGTCTTCATCAGTAAAATGGGGAGAATGTTTACCATGTCAGTTAGGATGCCTAAAACCCAAATAAATTAAGGAAATTTCATGTCTTGTATAACTGAAAAGGCTAGTAGTAGGAAAGGCTTCAGTGGTTCAACAAATTCACAAAATACCCAGCTTCTTCCCATTGTCTGCTCTGTGCTTTGGAGCATCCACGTCATTCTAAAGTTGGCTACACTGTGATGGCAACATGGCTGCCAGGAACTTCTGGAATGAAATATTTTCTCATTCATATTCAGTAAACAGGGGTGTCTCTTCCCTAGCCATCTAACAAAAATCCGGGACTTTCCTTTAATTGGACCATGTTTGTTTGTATGCCAACAGTTACTTTAGCAAGAGTGATGGATCTGAGAATCAGAGCAAAACATAATGGGAGAGGGGCAGAGCAGATATTGAAAAGACAACCACAATACCCAAATTCATTGTATTATATCCTATTATATCAGAGGACTCTGCATATGTAAAGTGCTCAGTAGCTCCCTAGCAGATAAATGTCAAGTGTGTGTGTGTGTGTGTGTGTGTGTGTGTGTGTGTGTGCGTCTAGAGATCCAGAGACAGAACTCAAGATAGAGGTTAATCTCCAATTTAAGGCCCATAAAAGCCCTAAAAACTACAGTTATAGGACCACAACCTCCAATATATATAATATTAACCCAGAAAATAAGTGTGAGAAAATATAATAAAGCTAATTTTTCTCAGGATGATCACTTTGATCAAGTTTTTCCATACATCAAATCAGATTCTTTCTGAAACACTTTTGGTACCACTGCTCAAGAACAAATTAATCTGTGTACTTGGTAACCCAACATAATATGTGCATGGGTGGAAGAATGAAAAGATAGATAGATGAAAGATATAAATGGATTGAGGATATATTTTAACTGCTCACATAATATTTCAAAGCCTGTTTAAATGCAGATAGAAGACGTTGGCTGAGTGGCTCAGTTGGTTAAGAGTGCGATCTCTGAGCAACAGGGTTGCCAGTTTGACACCTGTATGGGATGGTGGGCTGGGCTCCTCTGCAACTAAGATTGAACACGGCACCTTGAGCTGAGCAGCTGTGAGCTGCCAACAGGCAGACAGATGGCTCAGTGTACAACAAGGTTGCTGGTTCAATTCCTGCGTGGGATGGTGGACACGCCCCCTCAGCCCCCACCCCCCCAACTAGATTAAAAGTGGTGACCGAACTTGGAGCTGAGCCGCACCCTCCACAACTAAGATTGAAGAACAACAACTTGACTTGGAGCTGTTGGGTCTTGGAAAAACACAATGTTCCCCTCCCCAATTCCCCAATAAAAATCTTAACAAATAAATAAATAAATGCAGATAGAAGATTAATGTGTTAGAACGTTACGTATATGCTATGAGTGCCTCGAAAATGACTCATCTTCCTTAAAAGCAGATTACAGAATTCTAAAACTGGAAGAGACTACAGAAATCATTACACAGTCACTTTCCAGACGAGGAAATAAAGGCTAAAGGCTTAGCCAGGATCCTGAATTGGTGAGTAGCAAAACGAAACCAGATCTCAACTGTCCTGACATCCAGGAAAGCACTTCTCCACAACACAATCCCACCTCCCTTGATCATATTAAATGGCTTAGCAAACAAAGCCTTCATAAATGGTGCAAAGATAAACCTCCTCTCAACCTGCCTCAAGCAAATAATCATAATTTTGGAATTAGCAAAACCCAAATAATGTAGATATTATCATCCCTTCAAGTTGTCCTGAGTGAGACAGTCAAGTTGGAGGAAAGTTTTACTTAACACAAGTTTCCCAAGCCTGAGAAACATGTCAAGAGGTGGGATTTATTAGTGTTGCTGTTGCTTGTCAATAATAGTGAGAAATGGCATGTTAATCAGCAAGGAGCAAATTATGGCTGTCATTCCTTTTCTTTCTTTTTCCCCTAAAAATAAATCGTTAAAATGAAACTCATGTCCACAAGAAACTTACTATTTTTCAGTCACTAAATGAGGACTCAGCTTTAAACTAGCTCTGAAATGAATGGCTACTCTAGGAATGAAATATTCCATGGAGCAAACTCAGTACCCCACTTTTCTTGAGTGCTCTATTATTCTCACTTCCAGGATGGCCACAAATAGCTGTTTGAAACTGGACCTGGTACATAAATTAGTCAAAGAAAACAAGAGTAGAAGATAAAATTTGGAAAAGCCTGTCATAGATTTCAGCTTCCAAGCACACCACCAAAACTTTAATATTCAACACTTTAAGCAGACTTCTCAACCACTTAAGCTGACTTCAACAACTCATGCTTCAGCTGACTTGCCACAAAACAGTGCACCAAGGGAGGGATGCGACAGAGAAGGGCTCTGCTACAGCCGTACAAAACCAGCTTAGGTCTGAGGCTCTGATACCAAAAAGCTAAAAAACAACAGAAAAGAATTCATGTGCTTCTGGAGCTACCTTTTTTCAGGGTGAGATGTTTCACTGCTATTCAAACAAAGTGGCATAATCCACTGAATGATGCTTTTGCAGGCTCCTTGTCATCAGACTATCCTTTAGCCAACCACTGAAGGCCCTTTTTCTGCTATGAGACAGACAATGAATCGCCACATTATGCTCTCTGACCCTGCGGGGCCACGGTACAATATCATAATGTTAAACTGGGTCTCAAAAGAGCTTTGTGTGGGATGAGACAAAACTCTAAAGATAGCAGAGCTGCTGAATCACTTAGGGTATGACCACAAATAGTGCTGCACTCTGCTTTCTGGGTAAAGCTGGTATCAGAAGCCCCTGGTAAATCTCTATGCTAATTATGGAGGGTGGGAGGGTGACTATACAAGTAAGTTGTACTTAGCACAGAGATCAGGAAGCCTAAGGAAAGAAGCCCACGTTGAAAACCTAATAAATAAAATTTAAAATTTGTTCACGTAATAAAAGCATGCTGTCATATGACAAGGCAGTTTCCTTAGGAGCAGGTGCATTGCAATTTTTTTTTTTTTAATATTAAGTCTTCAGAGAGTTACACGATAGATGGCAGCGTGGAAATATACTGATGTGTCCTGGCAGAATTTCAGATATAATGATTTTTTTTTTCTTTGTGAACCTTCCATCAGTGGGAAGGCAAACCCTGCCAAAACTGAGGAACCCAAGCTGGAGGCAGCGAGGCTCCACCACTCAGACTACGGCGACGTGCCAAGACTGCAAGGCCAAATCGGAAACAGCCACATTGAGCTCATTAAAACGACTGAATGATCAAAGGCGTGCAAGCCTTCACAAAGGCAAAAATTAATCTGTTTAATACTTGGCTAAATTCTCAACTGTTGAAGTAAATTTGAAACGAAATTCATCAAACTCCCCCCTTTCCTGTGGAAAAATCCTTTGAGTTCCTCAGAGTGTCCAGGAGGTGGCAGAAGCGTTCTTTGTTTTCAGCTTAGGGGACACAGCTACAGCTCCACCCCCAAAATTAACGTAAGTATATGAGGTAGAATTATATATATGAATGTAAATACACATTTTCAGGAGATCAACAATTATATTCAAACGTGGATAAGCCAAAGCTCACTTGGCAATCACTTTTTGAGGGAAGAAATGATAAGAATTCAAAAATGAATCTTGGCTGTCGATGAAAAAGGCTGATGGAAGAAAGAACTACAGCTCAAGTTGTACCCTATTCGTGGACTTCCCAGGGCTTCCATGACCCTCCATTCTTGCAGCACACCTATGCTTCTTTTTCCTTCCCTTCATTACTCCTGAAAGATTTCACACTCATTCCTGAGTCGTCAGTGACCGGTGGCCTCCCTACAAAGCTGAAGGAGCTAGAAAACATTCAGGAACATTCTCTGCTGCAAGGACTCCTAACCTCCCCTCAGCCTGCCTCCTCTGCCAGGTCAACCTCCATAACCTGAGGTGTATCCACCACCCTAAACATTATGAATATTGATTCCTGATGGACAAACGGAAGCTGGTGTAGGATCTCAAATTCCTAAATTTCCTGGGAGGACAACATGTGAAATATTAATACAGTCTATCGTGGGAAACAAAACTCATTAAAATACATAGACATTCACAAAAAGTCACTGTTTATTTCATGAAGCAAAAACATTTATTCCAACCAGATCAAGGGAAGAAAAAAAATGTTTTCTATAGCTCCAATTTCACACACTCTAGTACGAAATGAATCAATAGTAGCTAGGAGGAGCGAAATCAAAGATTTCCTTTTCAACAGTAATAAATCCAGTCAAACCCTATTCGGTATGGCACTTGACATGGCTTGTAAAATCTGAAGTTACTAAATTATGTATTGCAATAGTAATCTGTTACACAATTAATAGGAAGTGCTAAATTAGGACAAATGGTTTCCAATGGGATCCAGATGGTTAACCCTAGACTAGGTAGAAAGGGTGTAAAATTAAGAACTGCACTGATTTTTTTTCCTTGAGTTTCTTGAAGGAACCAGAGTTCTTCAAACATGGAATGTAAACACTTGGGAAGGTAGCCTAAGAGAAGCATGTGTTATGTAGCAGCCTGAGTCCCAGCTGTGTTTATACTAGGATTCCAAAATATCTGGGCCTGGAAGGAGAACTGGCAGGAGGGACAGAGAGGCGTGCTGGGACAGACTGACCCCAAGGGGAAAGAAAGAAGCTGGTTCAAGACAAATGGGGGTGTTGTGATTGTTGACAGAGCACAGTGCCTGTCACTCAGCTTACCTTACAGCCCCCCTCCCAAGACTCACATCTGATTCCCCAGAGGATGGAGAAGACCCTGAAACATGTTGACATTATTGACCCCCTTCGCAGTAGGGCTGCGTTGATGGTGGTGGCAACAATAAGGGCAGCAATGGCCTTGGGCAGTGTCAGGGCTGACACCACCACCCTTAGCCTTGAGGATTGGCAGTACCCACAGAGAACACAGTGCTTTAGCAGGTGGGAAGATATCTGTGGTACCACAGCTGCTTTTGTCATTGGTGGGAAAGAGGAAACAGCAGCAAGTGAAGCCACATTCCAGTGACCCAGTGTAGGAAGGAAAAAAACAACAAACCTCATGTTGTAACCAAGAGACTAGTTCTCAGAGAACTGGTTGTGGTAGGCTGAAGAGTGACCCACTAAAGATGTCCGTGACCTCATCCCCAGAACCTGTGAATACATTACCTTACATGGCAGAAGGGACCCAGCAGATGGGATTTTAAGTAAAAGATCTTGAGATGGGAAGATTATTCTGGATTGTTTGGGTGGGTCAATGTAACCACAAGGGTACTTACAAGGGGAAGGCATGAGAGCTGTAATCAAAAAAGGAGATGTGACAACAGAAACAGAGATCACACAGAGAGACCTGAGGGTGCTTCACTTCTGGCTTTGAAGATAGAGAATAGGGTCCCCAAGCCAAGGAATGCAGGTGGCCTTTACAAAGTAGGGAAAGGCAAGGAAATGGGTTCTCCCCTAGAGCTCTGCCAACTTATTTTAGACTTCTGACCTATAAGATATTATAAGATAATAAATGTGGTTTTAAGCCACTAAGTGTATGGTAATTTGTTATAGCAGCAGCAGGAAAATGATACACTGATGACATACACGCCTTCAAAAGCTTTCACAATCATTTGTGAGGATAAGGAGGCTCAAATTCCCACAGAACAAGGGGAAGCAGAGCCAAAAGGTTGGGAAGTTTGGGAGTCATTCTCATTCACAGTTTGTGTAAATAGGGGGATACGGGTTAGAGTAGGGTAGACTAGACCCACAGGTCTGCTTTACATTCCAGGTTTCCTGAGCAGAACACTTTATCTTAGAGCTCACCTTGAACCTTCATTCAAATCATCAGCATCTATTTTCTGCAACACTCTAAGATTCCAAACCAAAGCATGCATTACTTTGCTCTCCTTTCCCTTCAAGAACTGAGAGGCAAATTGTGTCACGAGTACCTCAAGAATACCACATGTGTCCATAAATGAGTTCACAAGTCATTTGAAAAACTGAGAGCAAAGCCCATACTTATCTTTTGGATTCTATTAACATAGCATTTCTCAGTCACTTGCTCTAGATTTTAGTTCAACCATTAAAAACATTCTGCTAATGAGGCATTCTAGAAATGTCTTCAGTGGTCTGCCCTATGACTACAAAAAAAATCCAGCCTACCCACCTGAGATTCAAGACTCTTTTCAGCCAGATCATCATTAAAGATTGAGAGCCCAGAAAAGTACTTGAATTGGCTGTACTCATCCAATACTTTCTGCCAAATGAATCAGTTGTCTCTTCTCAAAAATCAAATATTGTCCTAGATCCGAAGAATACATAATCTTCCTATTAGTAGCCATTATTGTACATTTTACTTATATTCAACTCTATTATCTCTGATAACACTAGGGATCAGGGAACACACAAAAGGGCACAATTAACAAATGATTTCCAAACTTCATTTTGGCTTTTATATAATTTCTCTTAATCCTTATACAAGAGGTGTCAACAAGGGGAAAAAATGGTAAGTTTATTCAAATTCCTTTTATTATTTTCCCTGACCACCTTTTGGCAGAGTAGTCATATAATATAAAAAGAAATAATGGTGGGGAAAAGCAAAATAAACACTTAACCATGATATTCAAAGGCTAGGAGCAACCTGCTCCGTGGTCCATTCCAGCTGGACTTGTCCTCTGAACAAGTTAGACAACCTTGGACAAGCTTCTGTCTCTTTGATTCTCCTCTATAATACTTCCACATTTTTCCTAATATTAAACATTTAATTTACCTGCCAGTTAAATTATTTAATATTTCTTCTTCACACAGTCAAGTTGAAATTGGCACTGGAAGAAATGCTCCTCATTTATACTGTGGGGTCAAGCATTCCATCAGGGAGGTGAGTGCCCTAGTGTGCAAAGCATCGGCCTACATAAACTTGCTAACATCCCTGCTATCTCTAACACCACAGGAACCCACTGTGCTGTATAGTCCCACCTTCACTGCTTTGGTTCACTTCCTTTTGTCATCTTCTATTTTCTTTATCATTTGGAAGTGCTCTCTTCTTCCTCCAGTTTTCCCATCTTTGAAAGACAACTTATGTCCCTCCTCCTCCATAAAGCCTTCCCTGACCACAGCTGTCCAAAGAAATCCTTCTTTCAAATTCATGGCACACATCCCACACAGCATTCAGTTGGAATATAATTATATCTACCTTGTGATGCCTTTTACTGTTACTTAATTCTTATGTTATTTCTCTTGGTTTTGTTGTTGTTGTTGTTTATTTATTTGTTTGTTTATGCCTCTGGTCTTCCAATCATATCATAAACTTCCTAGAGATCAAAGGCAATGGAAGCTATTGTTTTGTATTCCCCCACAGCACCTAGATCTGTGCCTTGCACATGAGAAGCGCTCCTTCATTATTTACCCATTCAACATTTATTTAACTATATAGCATTTATTTATTAAACTATATATGTGCCAATTCATAACTGTTGAGTGAATAAAAAGCAAAATGATTCACATAATCTAAAAACTGAATAATTCAATTCTTAATAACTCAGAACTTATACTTCTCATTTCAGGTTTACTCTTTGTTATAATTCCCCCATTGGCAAATTTAAACCTCAAATATTCTAAACAGGTTTCAAATATGGGACGACTCTGCATGTTCTTGTAATTACAATTGACACAAAGTGTTCTGGGTTAATTATGAGTGTAGAAAAACAGATTTTGTAGACTTGTAAACTGCAGAAATTATCAAGACTGACAGAGTGAAAATACCCCCTACAAGTGCACAATTGTAAACTGCATGTTAAATGACAACATACTTGCTTTTATTTAATCACACTTTGTCTTTATGGAACATAGGTGCGTGCCTGTTCAATTCCTTCAGGGGCAATAAAATAGATGCCCTTGTTCCACTTTGTAATCAGAATTAATGGCTACCTTCCATTTCTACCATAAATCTCAAGTTTCAAGTGTTATAACTAAGTACGTGAAAATCATATTAAGCTGAAAGTTACCATGAAAATTATTAACCAGATGCTATTTTAATAAATATCACTGTAGATTACATTCATTGAATAAATTGTGTGCCTAACAGAAGTCCAAAATACTACAAAGGGTTATTCCCATATTTTTCCACATAGACTACATAAAATAGGTTCAATTTCAAAAATAAACGCATTTACATCATTTTATGGACTGTTGCCTTTTGCTATTTCACCTACATGGAACCTGGCAAATTATTTCACTTTAGAATATAGCAACGTGAGAGGTTCTGCGTGGTGAATATAACTGGAGAACCTTGGTCAAGCGCCACCTGGTGGTCAGATAAATATATTTCCTACCATAGTTGAATCAGTTTTACTGAGAACCTAGTCAAGTTACATCATTGGTAATTACCAAAAATAAAGAATTATAATCAATAATAGTTTATTAGTCCTTAATCCTGTGGAATATTGAGCTACTGGAGAAAATATTCAAATCATATTGATATCGGTTCAAATCTCAGCTCTGGCTATTTTTTTTTTTAATTGGGGAATTGGGGGGATGGGAACAGCACTGGGGAATTGGGGGAAGGGGAACAGACAAGTTGCTGTCGTTTTGTTCTTCAGTCTAGTTGTGGAGGACGTTGCTTCACTAGCCCAGGTTGGCACCATCATTGCGCTCTTCCCGGGCGAGGCAGATCAGTCACCGGCTTCTGGACGGCCGCTCACTGCGACTGCTGGCCGCTCACGCTGGCTGCTGGCTACACACGGTAGCCCATGGCAACCCACTGCCACAGGGGCTGCAGCCTATGCCATCGCTGACGACTCACGGCAGCCCAGCTCCAGGTTGAGCTGTTGTTCAGCATCTTAGCTGTGGAGGGCAGTGTCACTGGGCCTCATATGTGGGATCCGAACCGGGGCCCTCTGGCATCCCAAGCCAGTTCTTAACCATCATGCCACTCGGCCGGCCTAGCTCTAGCTTTTTTTTTGTTTTGTTACCAGTTCCTTTATCAAGGGCCAATAACTTAAACTCCCTGGGGCTCAGTTTTCTCACCCATGTCATAAAGTTGATTGAAGGAATAAGTGACAGAAAGATATGAAGGGAATAAAATAATGCCTAAGATAGTATCTTGTGGTACCAACAATTGCTATTATCAATTTATCAGCAAACATGCTTGTATGTATTTAAAGCTTATTATAGGCCAAAAGCATATATATATATATATATATATATATATATATATATCTTTTATCTATATTACCTCAGTTAATCCTCACACGAACCATATCAAGCTGGCATTATTATCTATCAGTTTAAAATAAGAAAGCTAACCATAAGGAAATTAAATGATTGGCTCTGGATCCCACAGTAGGCAACATCTAGCTCAAAGTGGCAAAACAAGAACAGCCACAGTTTAGCAAATGTGAGATACAGTCCTGGGGACTCAGGAAAACACAAGTAGACAGAGAGCCTGCAGGCATGCAGGTGGAGGCTAAGAAGCTTGTTCAAGCATTGCAAATTTAAATGCCCGTGGCCAAACCAGTATCATAAATGAGCAATGTGGGCTAAGAGGTACCTGAGGTGAACTGGAAAGTGCAATTCCTGCCCAACAAGGTCCACTGCTTTTCAATGCCAGCTGATGGAGACTGGGTGAAGCCACAAACAAGCAGTGCAAAGGGGCACTGGGCTTAAGGCAAAGCATGGGCAATATGTGACACTTTCACATGGTACAAAATGAGGAAACAGCCAAACATCCACACTCAAAATGTCTCCCGGGGAAATCTGATATTGGGCCAGAAATTCCAAGTCTTCAAATCACTAATTAACATCTTACGTTTGCTATTTCTAAAAGTGTAGTTGACTCTTAAACAACTCCAGCGGTGGGGGTTGGGTTAGGAGTTCCAAGCTCCACGCAGCCAAAAATCCATGTATAATTTTGACTCTCCAAAAACTTAACTACAAAAAGCCCTTTACCATCAGCAGACTCAACCAACCACAGATAGAAAACAGTACTTTGGATGCCCAGTTGGGAATCCACGTGTGCGAATGCAAAAATACTTTTTTCGGCAATGGTTGGTTGAATCCCCCAATGCAAACTTGCAGATACAAAGGGTCGAAGGGCCCTTTGGTGGTCCTAAGTGGACCTGCACAGTTCAAATCCATCTTGTTCAAGGGTTAACTGTATAAATATGTAATGGGATATTGGCTTCAGTCCCCACCAAGAGCTTAGTGATGCATGCTTTCCCTAATGAACCGGGAGTGTCTATAAGGTTCTGGGGCAAGGGGAGAAATGGCAAGAGGTGGGGGGGGGGGGGCCTCAGCACGGGCCACCACTGCAGCACGCAGAGAGTAGCTCACTTTAGCATGCTGCATCTGGGTTCAAGGCATGCTGGCTAAGCTGAAGAAGGGCAGGAGAAAAACTGACATAGGTAGGTTGCACTTTCCAATTAAAACCAGAGAAGGTTTAAATAACTTGGCACATGAATATATAATTAATGGAGTTGTAAGTTATTCAAACT